CAAGTTAGTAGGAAGATAGACAAGGATAGAAAGACAGACAGGCAGAGCGAGAGAGAGGGAGAGAGGGAAAGGGCCAAACACTCTTTAAAAAGAATTAAATCAGAAGTTAATTCTTGGTTTGGGCTGCTGGCACAGCTGGCAGAATCAACTCCCAAGTTGATCCTTTGAGGCTGGCGCATTGAATGGGGGCTGTTGCTGAAGAATTAACTTTCGAGTTATTCTTATTCAACTCTTGTTTTCAGTCTCTTCCTTGGGTATGCCCCCCTAAGTTAAGGATTCACTCATGAATCGTGCGCCTAAACAGGCAAATCTTGTATGTCCCAATACAATCACGAAACAAAACTTACTACAGTTGAGGCAAAGCAAACTCGATGAAGTGCCCCAAAGAAAAACTCAGCGAGCAGCTAGCAGTAGCACACAAACACACAGCACACGAACTAGAACTGAACATCTGGATCAAAATCAAGCAAAAGGCACAAGTATGTAAGTAAAGAAATAGAGATCATGTTTTCTACCTGAACTGACACAAACTCACAAGCAACAACCTCCTGTTCAAACAAATCAACATCCATGAACGCAATCGCATCTTAAACAAACACAAGTTGGCTCCGCACACAACCAATCACGAATGATGAAGCCCCAAGAAGGAGGCACAAACCGCAACATGTCACAAGGGCTGTGGAAAAAACAATTGCCAAAGTCCTTTCTCCTTCTCTCCACTACCAATGCCCAAGTGCCTGCACGATAGTTGGTGTTGCCCACGTAGGACAGCTCGACTATCTGGCAGCAGAATTCATCAGGTGCCAGCGTTCATGCTGCACCAAGTGGTATCACCTCACCTTTCCGTCGATTCACCAAGGTCAGTTGCAACCGTCTCAAGTTCAGTCTGATTGGTCCCAAAACTCAAAGGATGGGAAGGCGCCAAATGTGTCGCCAGCAGCTGAAGCGCATCGAACTGGCCTGAAGCGCAGAGGATTGGAAGGATGAAGGAACATGCGTTGACTGATTGGAGACGGCCAGGTATCATGCTCTTAGGACATCTACCAAAAAAAACAGCTTCTTTTCGTGGCAGCTGTTACAAAGAACAGGCTGGTTTTCCTTGATTCCCAATTCGACCTGCGGAGGGAACGAAAGCCAGTAGGAAGGTCCGTCCAGGTACAGAGAATGTGCCCTTCTATACTATAGGGATCCCGTTGCCAACACATCTTGCCTCAGAGCTGAGATGTGGTGTTCTGAGTCTGCAAAAGAGCCAAATCTAAAGAGCCCAAAGGGCTGACTTCGCCAAATCTTCATTCCATATCATTCCATCAGTGTCTCTCACTTTGGTTGACATGATGACTTCCAAATTCATTGCAAAGTGGCAGTGCTGCGCAGCTGTGGTATATGCCTGTCGGGCAGCAAGGTCAGAAGCCACCAGACCTGGTGACCAGACCTTGTGCTAAGTGAAGTCCTTCTATTTCAAGATCCACAGAAAACTCTTGAAAGACATACTGAAGTTGACATCAAAACAATGGGGACCTGAGATGATGACCACACAGTGCAAGCAGGGCTGCTGGGCTGCATTTTTGAAGAAAACAGTTGCAAGATGTTGCAAGGGTCCAAAAGCAACGGACTCGAAATACCTCAAGGATCCAAAGTTCATGTCAACAGGATAAAACACTGTCCAAAGAAGGTTCTGAGGCAGAACTCAAGCAGAAAAATGTTGTGAGGATCACCAACACTGACCATGTGCGCAGCAAATTCACATTAACCTTTGCAAAGTCTTCAAAACCCATTATTGTTGTTTCTTTTGGCCCGCTCCCCCCTCCCTACTAGAAGCGAACCCTTGCGAATCGTTTCACTGGGAATCGTTTCATTGGGAATCGTTTCACCTGTAGTAACGAGAAGCTTTCACCTGTGTCTTCAGTGTCTTCTGTTCACTTCTTAGTAATAAAGCGTTCTTTCGATGTTGCACGATGTTGCGCGATGCGCAACATCTTTTCGTTTCAGCCAAGCTTGAAGAGTCTTTCCGGTCATCGCCCTGCCTGATACCAACAGTATTAGGAACTCAGCAAAACTTCGTTGCTCCAGTCGCACGGTATTGTCATTTTACTCACCTGTTTGCAACAATTCGCATGTTTCACTTCAATAACTGAACATGCAGCCACCATGGGCCATGAAAATAAGCTCATGCCCGCTTGGTGGCACCTTCCGGATGGACTCCAAGGTTTGCCTGCAAGCATTTCTACACGCATTGACTTAGCATCAGTATACCTGTTCTTCCGTTGTCTTTCGTTGTCTTCTATAGACCTTAAGACTTCTTGTCTTTTCTTGCATCTTCTTTCTCTTCTTTTCTCTTCTCTTTTCTCTGTTTTCCCTTCTCTTCTCTCTTCTCTTTCCCTTCTCTTCTTTCTTCTCTTCTCTCTTCTCTTCTCTCTTCTCTTTTCTCTTCTCTTTTCCTTCCTTCGTTCCGTCCTTCCTTGCTGTCTTCCTTCCTGTCTTCCTACAAGCCAACAGAATTTCAGATAATTCAGTTTCTGGGTTGCTTTTCAATGCAGGTGTGATACATTTAGCATGAACCACATGTGCACAACTCGAGCAAGCTCAGACCCTGCAACTTGAAGGAACATGTGACTTGCAACTCCACCCAACACTCCCTGCCTGTCGTGCAAGTGGTCCAAAAGTAGAGCCCTCGGATGGCAGCACAAACCACCAAACATGTAGTGAATCAACTTGAGATCAGTGGAAATGCTGAGTCCAGCAGCAAAGATGCACAGTCGCCCCTTGCTGCACAGGAACACAGCAAACAGCCGTCCCTCCTGAGCATGTGATATGGAAAAATATATATTCCTTCAAAGATGTATATATCATATGAAAAATATATGTTTGTTTAGTGGGATAGTGTAAGGGATATCCTCTATGCTTCATCATGCTTCATCGATTCATCTCGCAGAGGTGATGCCACGGTTCGGAGTCACCGTATGCCGCGGTTCGGGGTGAACACAACATGTGAAAACACACCTAGACACTGAGGTTGACACGTTGCAAGGATTTGAATGCACCTATATGATTCTCAACGTTTTTACATCTTTATGGCCTTTATACATCTAATATTTAAAAATATATATATATATTATCTGACTTGATCTAGATTAGATTCATTTCAACCCGTCCCACTCTTGCAAGGCCCAGTCGTTCAGTCCTCGCAGATCCACCGCCTAGCTGTGCTGACGCATCCTGCACTGACGCGTTTCATCGAAACTTGGCGGTCCATGTCGTGTTGGCCATCCATCTTTTAAATGTGGGCTGCAGTCTGGTTGCCCAAGAGTTGGCCAAGAGCATAGCTATTTGAAGCTTCCATGAATGTGAAGGATGGCTAATTGTCACTGGTCAAAGATATTGGGCCTCAAGGCTATTCACATCGCACCAAGCCACATTCCACGGCCACTTTGAGGGATATATTGAATATATCTGTCCACATAGCTACCCCATTCTGTGAAGTGGTCAACGAAGCTTTGGCACCTCCTTAGCTCACGAACCTGGTTAGGTGAAGAATCCTGGTATTCCAGAATTTGTTTAAGGGAAAATCTACAGGAAAACCGTAGTTTTGGGGATGAAAACATGGGTTGCAATTTTCCCTTAAACTAATTCATTGATGGTCACCTTTTCGATTCTCGCCTGCCCATTGTCTGTTGAGGTGTCTCCAATGGCCGCCGTCACAGCGATCGTGCCACCTGCACAGTCTGGACATCAAACATATTAAAACATCCTGATAGCTCGTGTGTTTCAGTAAAACATCTTGCACTGTATGAGATGATCAGAATCAGGACACGCCCGTCGGCGAGTTGCGATTATTCGTTTGAGTTTCGCTGGAGTTTTTCCATATGTTCATGTAGCATTTTGTTTCGAACTCAAAAGCACACCGGCGCGGATGTCCAGCGGCGAGAGCCACGGTTGCTGATGCGATAGGCAGCTGCAGTCACAGCATTCAAGAGGCTGCTCACCGAAACATTGACAAAAGTTGCATTCTCTGGCGGATGAGCCTCTGCGGGAAGAGGAATATATTCGATCCCCGTGAGTTTTGCCAAGTTTCGGTAGTACGCATAAGCAGAAACGTTACCACTCACTGCAGGAAGAAGCTCGATGACTACGGCTTCGGAGCCAAGCCACAGGAGATGGCTCAATCCGGCACCATGCACTCCCAGGAGTACATCACAAGAACTCACATTGGACATTTGTTCGCCCCAAGTGTCTGACCAACTGAAACTCAAAACACGAACATCTAAAAATTTGTTGCCGGCAGTGCAGCGCCCCAGTTGCTCCAGAATTTGCTGATGGTTCGCAAGAATACGATGCTCTGTACGATTCAAAAAGCACACCTCCATTGCACTTCCAGTGGAGGGGGCAGTTCCAGCGTTCAGCCCAACAAAATCAGAAACAAACTGCTGCATGAGGCTGAACTCAGGTCGAGCACACTGAAAATCAGCGTCCCAAGCTAAGTCCCACAGAAAACCACCATGGAACGGCACGACCAGTTCAGAAAAACCGCAAAGATCTTTCACGGCTGTTGGCCACAAGTGTTTCTGCCCAAGTATGTCCAGTTGCTTTTGGTGTGGTGCACCTGTAGCCAGCAAATAGGTTTGGCGGTCCCGCCAGAAAAGAGTGACGTCCGACCCCCGCGCTTGAAGAAACACCAACGACATCCAATATGGGTATATGTTCGCCAGTCTATGCCATGGGTTCCCCTTCCCGCCAAAGTCGTGGATACTCGGCATGATGAGGAGCACATGTCGTCCCTCCTCGTAGTTCTTGCACACCGGCCATGTGGTGGCAGCCTCGATGTGAAAGGCCCAGCGGAAGAATTGTTCTTTGAATCTATCTCCATGCTTCCTTGCCTCCGCTTCAAAACGATCGTAGGCCCCCTTCAACAGGTAACCGTAGCCAGCTCGGGATTGGTAGCTTCTCATTGTTCCCTGAAAGTGAGCCAAGCTGATGAATCCTGCACGTGGATCTGGATCTGATCGTTGGAGTAGCACTGCCAATACCACCAGGCCTTGTTTTGAACAAAGCACCTGTGCGTTGTCCTCCATCACTGCTAGGATACCTTGACTCCATTGCCAGCATGTCTTGGCCGCCTTGGCTGCGCCCAAATTCTGTGGAGCCCCAAGACATCTCGGAAGCGCGAGCCAGGTCTTTGAGGGTCCAGCTCTTTGGCACACCTTCCTGGCAGCTGCCAAACAATCACCTTCAGTCCCCTTCTCGTCCGCCAGGCCCTTCTGTGTAGAATTGGGGGAGACATTCCTTGCAGCGATGTTCGAAACGCGCAAGGAAGAACGCGACTCCCCCAAGGCTGCTGGGCTCGCTGGACTTCGAATCCCTGGACTTCCTGGTGAACGAAGCGAAAAAAAACAACATGGCCAAGAAGAAGCCAAGGTTCACGTAAGCAACACGTCTGCAGATGCAAAGCCAAGGTCTTTTCTTGGGGATCCAACTGGGGGAGCCCCTGTCTGCGTCGAGACTCCGTCCTCCCTGCAAAGTCTGGAGTTCTTCATCCTCTGCACCAAGAATCGTGGGCATCAAGCCAAACGAGTCGTCTGACGCGATTCTTGGCCCATTAAACCAGGACTAGTTGCCGTCTACGTCGCTGGAGGGTTGCGGGAACTCAACGAGCGTTCTGGGTCCCATGGTTTTGTCCTTGCTGAAACATCGTAACCTGATCATGGAATGTATGAGGGGCTCTATGCCAAGATGTCAGCAGGTGACTCATAAAGAACAAGTCAGAAAAAGCAATGAACCAATATGGCTGGGCAATGATCATACAGCTGAAGGCGAGCAGGATTTACATCCTAGGCCTAGTCTCCTAGTGTTCTCGTCCTAGCATTCTTCTCCTGTTCCCAAAATTCCGATCTCTCTTCAGCCACCACGAGACAGCCCGGTCTGCCTAACGAGACCAGCGTCTCCAAGGCCTGAAGAAGCGGACGTTCTAACCAGTCACTCATGCAGGTGATCTGTGAGGATTGAGAATCATTGAGTATCTATATGTACCAGTATATTTATATAGATCTCAACTTGACTGGCTCACTACGGCTCAGCAATGGCTTGGAAGGAGAAAGAAGAAAAGCTCCTCATTCTGCACCACCAATATCACAGAAATAGAACTTGCGAAGCTAGGCATCATCCGTCATGCGAGTAGAAAAATGCAGCTATCGACCCCACCGCCACCTCCCATGATTATCATGATTTGATGGCCAGCCCAGCCTCCAAATTCCCGAGGCTCGCAGCTTTCTTCATGGCGGCTCCATCCTCGCGATTCAGCAGACTACAGGCCTGGCATCGAATGAAAAAAGCAGCCCCTTGCCCTCGCTCTTACTTGATCAAGTAGGTGCCTACTTAATTGAGGGCTGCGGCTAAGTTAGCTGCTAGGTAGGACACAGGATAGCTCACGCTTCAATGAAGCTCCTAGCCTGTCAAGCCTCGCGTCTGTAGAGGATTCGCTTCGTTTGGGTCTCAGTTCGTGTTCGTACCAGTCTCAATGATAACCCGACACAGTCAAACCAACCCAAATGACCATTTACAGCCACTGCTGTGTGAGAAACCAGGAGCCAGGTTACGAGAAGATGCCCCTGGCTCACCCACCGTCCGTCCAAGCACAACCAGTGCCAGGATGACCCAGCTGCGGACGAGGCGATTCAGCAGAACTCCGCAACCCTGGCGCAACCCGCTTGGCGACAAGAAAAACGACTCCCAGGTCCCAGGTGTCCAAAGATCCTCGAAGTGCCTCCAAGCTACCCTAGCGATGGCCTCCAACCTAGTAGCTCCTTGTTACTACTAGTAAGGCACTTGTTACTAGTGTCTTCATAAGCAAAGTCATGAAGACGTGATGATTGACAGCTCCTTAGAAAAAGCGACTTGAGGCCGAGGGTAGGTGACGAAAGCTAGCAGGGATGCATCCGTGTCAGTGGCGAAGCATACAGCGCCGTGCAGTGACAAAGGATTGGTGGGACATCAAGCGGAGTGAGGCAACTCTTTTTTCATAGGCATGGGGCTGTTGGAGGGATGGTTCACAAGGTCTCGCTCATGAGGTAAAACGTTGTGAACATGTAAGACACACGAACAGCAATGACACAGCCAACCTTAGCTTGTGAATCTGTTGAATCTGTTGCATCGTATCCCAAAACCTCCACGGAGGAGTTGAACCAAAGTGGATGCCATAAGAGGTGTCCAAGAGGTGTCCCAGAGGCGTCCCAGGGGGGAGTTGAAGTTTTCACGTGATGCGGCGATCTTGAGGATTCCAGCCCCTCACTTGCTAAAGCAAGGACGACTCCAGCTAGCTGCTGCTAGCTTTCGTGACCTGTGACCATGGCTGCAAAAAACACATGTGAAGAAACACAACAAAACACCCTGTTTTCATCTGTTTTCGGTATTTTCGACCTGCTTTGGATCTCTGTTGTCCCTGTGGTGTCTGTCAAGTAGTCCAGGAGTTTGTCTGTGGAGAGTTTGGCAGCATGCCATGATCGGTTCGGTTAGTCACAGCATCAAAACAAAGTGTGATCTTTCAAGCTAAGGTTTGACGTGGCGGCCTTTAGATTCAAGTGATCTTAACTTTGCCAGCCAAGAGCTGTCAGCATCTTTTGTCTCTTTGTCTATGGTTTCGGCGAAATCTAGTGCTTCCCTAAGCACATGCCTAGGATGGCTGGGCCCCCCAGCCAGCAGGTTTCATGCAGGTTCCCTATCCCACGTCTGCACTGTGGCTACTTTTCCCCGGATTGTGATGGATGCCCGTATGTATGTCTCATGTACTTCTCTACCAGTCAAGAGATTATATGTTCAAACCATGTTCTGTAAACAAAACAATACAACAGAAGCATGTATTGTCAACTTGCTGCGTATTGGTCCATCTTCTCATGTTCTGTAAACAAAAAAATACAAGATATACAAGACCATCCGACTTGCTGCGTTGATCACGTCGTTTTGATCACCACGTCTCAGACGCGGCAGAGGTTTTTTCGTCGTAGTCGGAATCCGAACAAAAAATATTCTTCGGGTCGCCGGTCCGACATTTTACACACACTGCATATTGTCTGAAGCACACAAAAGCAAATCTTTGTGAAATGCATGTTGCATATGTATTTTTAAAAATGGCGGGTCAGGTCCTTTTGATCTGCAAGATCTTCGCAAACTCGGCCAATACCAAACAAGACCACGACAAAAGCAACCATGCCTGGCCTCGCCGCGCTCGATGGCCGCCAGCAAAAGGGTGTGAAAGCCCTTCCGAAGCAAAAGTGCTACAACGGAGTGATCCGATGATGTGCGAGCCTGATAGTCTTCATCCAATCCAATGGCCAAGTGTCAGTCCAGATGCTAGTTCTGGACTGTCCTAGATTCTAGATCAATACCAGTCCAGCAGGTGAACAATCCCACCAGTCCAGTGGTGCCCTAGGCCTCTGCACCAAGGCCTCTTAGCTGCCTTCCCTTGGTGCACGGATCAGGATCAGACTGTAAAAATATGTAAAAATCAAAAGCACCCTCACTTGAATTGCGCCGCAGTCACCAACAACTTTACACCGTCGCCAAGGGCAAGACTTCCCCTTCCTTCTCAATGATTTCGAGACAACTTTGCACCGAGTTGGAGGTCTTGAGCTCCAAAGTCTCCTCTGGTTTGCCAATCGAAAGGTTGCACGGTCTATGCTCACAGCCCTCAGCCCTATCTGTTCGGAAAGCAACTCATCAGACCGTGCAACAGGTTCTTCGTTTGGCCGCCTCCGGCAACTCATCAGGTTCTTCACAGAGCCTCGGTATAGAAAGTTGTGATGTTTGGAAACGGCGCCAGGCAGACCGAACAAATCAATGACTCTTTAAACGTTAAACGACTGTGCTTACTAGTAAAACCACACTACAAACTACCACCAAACTGAGCTCATCAAGGTAATCCTCAAGGATTGATGCACATGTTTTTTCATGTTGAGAAATCTTCTGAGGTTCATGTGTCCACCTGCGTTACAAAAACTCTTAGGTTCATGCCCTTCACTCGAAATCTGCATTGCACCCGGCCTCATCTTGCTGTCGCATGCACTCGGCCGTGATTGCGTTGGCGCCTGACAGACCGGTAGAGTCTTGGGATGGCCCTCGTCTTCAGCGCCGCGTGCAAACGTATGGAAAGGAGTCATGGCCGACAGCCAAAAGAAGACAAAGAGACAAGAAGCGGCAAGACAAGGAAAGACTCTTCTGCTCGAGGGTTAACGAAGGTTGACCTGGCAATTGCACGGTACAATTCCACTGGCAAAACCCAAACCTCAAGAGTGCCCCAGATCTATGGCCAATGGCGAGTTGAAGTAGATAGATCTTTCAAGAGACAAGCGGAGAAGTGAATGATAGGCAGGTGACAAATAATGAAAGGTCACAAAACGACTACCAAAGGCAGCCAGGAGAATATATAGGTAGCGACCCACGGTGACCCACGAGATCTTCAAGGAAACAAAGCCTTGGCCACTGGCACATGTTGGCATGTATGATAGGAACAAGAATCGCAATGAGGTTTGAGTCACACCAACTATCCTCGTGGCACCTCCTGAGGCTCTGCCTCCGCCGCTTCCGCTGCCTCCGCCTGGGCACACACAGTCATGGCTAGTTGGAGCCAAGGTGATCAGACTAATGGCCAGTCGTCTCACCTCAACCGCTGGATAAATGATGCATCTATCATCCATCCCACCCAGCAATCCACTGCAGGCTGCCTCTATCAAAGCCATGGCTGCAAGTTTTGCTTCCATGAGGCTGTACTGTTCCTCTGAGACTGGAACGCTTTGGCGATACGCCTTCTCCAGTTTTTCGGGGTCTTCCTTTAGGGGGGGGTGTCATCTGGACCTGCGTTTGGTCTTGAGATTCCCTATAATAAACGTTCATTTCAGTTGGTTTACAAGTGGCATTGCAGGCAGGTTTGGAGAAGGATTCCGAAAAAGACTGGTACAACAGCAAGCGTCATCCAGTGAAGAGGTGGAATCGATAACAAAGAAAAACTAGCGGTTTAGGTTTAGGTTGATTCAAAGGTTGCTCTGGTTTCTCTCCCAATATCTCTCCCTGCATGTGATGTCTGAAATGTTCCACCTGCCCAATGGCCCGCTCCAATCTTCGGTGCCGCAGCTTTCACAGTGCTACACAGCCCGACATTTCGGCACAGCAAGTTTGTGCAAAGTACGACACCACCAGAAACAATCTGCTGATTTGCATAGTCAGCTCTTCAAAAAACCATCGACACAATCTGTGCTCCTCCTTCTCGTTGAATTCAGTTTGCCAATACTGCGCGGCCTCACTCACATCATCATTTCACTTTGCCATGCGACAAAAATCCTTTCCGCTCTCTGCAAGGTCTCTTTAGACATCTTCATGTTGAACCGTCTTAGCTGGGAGGTAGTTTATAGCTGTTTCTTTTCAGCTGGTCTTCCAACCTGACCTATTCATGCATATTCAAACCATTTACCACATTAACATTGAGATTTGGGGTGCGGGGTCCGGGACAAAATGACGTTCTGGGGTTGGATCATTTTGTCCATCTACTGTATTAGCATAGATTGATGCTGTGCACGATCATTCGTGTAGACATAGCCCACCATGCTTTGCAATTGAACAGTGTTCAAAACCTACTTTGCCTATCGTGCAAACACCAAAAAACAGCAGCCCTGGTCAGTCCATGCAGCCTTGGATTTCAAAGAACTTGCTCCATCGATGTCCAAATCCGAAAAGTGTCCCGATCTCTCCACGTCTTTGCTTCATAGACGTGCTCTCGTGGTTCGTTTGACGGGCCAAGCAGTTGCCAAACCACCTGGGACCTGTAGAGGAAAAGGATCATCGAACGGGCCACGCCATCCACTTCCATGACAGTTTCAGGGACTGTAATACTTGCTGGTTTTCTGCCAAGTTTGACCTTCTCTCGGTCCTCAACACAACACCACGCCCGATAACGACCTCGCGTTGCCGCTGCTCTTCTTCTTGCGCATCCTCTCCGGCTGATGCCGCTCGGAGTGCAAGTCAAACTGAAGATAGTTGATGCTCTTGAGTCCAACATGATTCACCTTACTCTAATCTGTTGTGGCGGGATTTAGGCATTTGGTCTATAGTCAATGTCCAAGATGCAGGCCATGCTTGAAAGGTAACGGGTTGGAGAAATACGTACTGACACCTGGAAGCCTGTAACTGCAAGCATGTGCGTGCTTGCAAACGACCGAAATCTAGAGTTGCCACATCTGCTGAAGCCTGGAGCTTCTGCTTCAGATCTGCACAAACCGAGAGCCTTGACAAATACCGGCAGGGACGTGAAGGATCTCAAAGGCATTGCCAAGCGCTATCTGTTTGATAAAAAAAAGACAACAACGAAATACATCCAGTATTGACTTATTACATGTGAGCGTCTGTCGAAACGTCTTGCTAACAAAAAGGACATTGTTTAGCGAGGCTATCGCTTTTGAAGGAGGCCTGTCGCTTTTTCAGGCCCCGGCCACACTTTCGAAGTAGCTGAACATATCCCAAAAACTGTGGCTTGGATGGTTATACAATAATGATATATTATTTAATGGTTTGATGGTTGAGCCACATTCCCCAGATCCGCGTCCGCTCTTTGCGCCATTGATCATCACAGGTTTGATGGTTTAGCATGGTTTAGCTCATTTCACACAAGCCTTTGGCTGTCCCCTCTCATGCCTGGCATTGCTTTGCTGCCGCTCAGCATGTAGTTGGCTCTGGAGCCATTGGACCTGGCCGTTTCTAGGCCTTGGTCCAGCGCCCTTGGCGTCACCTGATGTCATTTACAGTAAGGCCCGCCCTTACTTAATTAAGTAGGTGCCTACTTGATGAAGTAAGGGAGCAAGCTCCAAGCTACTAAGCTTCTATAACTGGATGCAGGATAGCCCTACTAATAGCAATGGCCTTCAACCTAAGGGCGATGGTCTCCAACCTAAGAGCGATGGCCTTCAACCTATATAATATATTTGAGCACCTTATGTCACCTTATGCAAATGCTGCCAGATGTTTCGGATCTTTGTGGTCGAGTCGAAAGTGATTGATCTGAAGGCCTCCTCTTGCAGAAGTTTTGTCTCATCATCTCCCCTCTGCACAGCAGCCTCAGCTTGGATGCCAGTGCCATAAATGAACAAAGCAGGCGGTGTTTGATATCATGCTGCGACAACTCTTTACCCTGTTCATCAGGCTTTGCAGCAAAAAATTAACGAGTTTCAGACCTCAACTGCTTGGCTCACCTCTCAGGCAAAGGAGGGGCGATAATTCAAGTGCACACGACAGGAAGTCAAGATGTCAAACACCTAAACAAAGCACAGATCAAAGGACAAGGTCAGCTACTAGGAACAAATGGCATCGCTATTAGGAGCAAGAAACTACTACAAGTAGTAGCTCCTGGCATTGTATTTTCATATACTGATACTACTAGTGACAAGAAGCTTTAAGGGCATCACATCAGCCGTTCCGAAGCGTTCGGCGGCGGCGGCTTGCTCGCTGCGCCTCCACCTCCAACTCCGCGCCGAGGCGCCGAAGCCGCTCTGCCAAGCCAAGGGCGCCAAGGGCCATGGGGAGGCCGGGGAGGGCGAAAGGCTGGGATGACACCAGAGATGACGGACGGGATTGACATGGGAATTTCTAATGAGAATTGACACCAGATGAGTATAGGATGCCCCAAAAAGGATCAGATACGGAGTTGCATTTATTTGCCGTGCAGTGGCTTGCAGACCATTCAATCATCAGAAAACCGTTGGATCAAGCAGGTGATAATGACCATGATGTTGCTGGTGCATCCAACAGTTGCTTTCCGGTCTCTCCCGTCTAAAGGCCCACCCAAGATTTAATTAAGCCAAGGCTGCAGTCTGAAGGCCTAAATCGAGCGGAAACTAGCGAAGCAGCTCCTCACACTGCCGACCAAGAGGACAACTGTTGCTGTAAGGCGCAGAAAGGCGGATGGTGCAATCATGGCTAAAAACTCGCCGCTAGCCATGGTACACATGCGCATCTGTCACCGGCTGCAGCAGCTGCAGCATTTTTTTTCCTAGAGCTCAGTCGGATCGACACCAGTCCGCCAACCTGAAAACTCGACCAGTCGGATGGGATGGATTCGCTTGATCAAAAGTTCCCGCCTGGCATCCGCATGCGAACCCTCTTGGCAGCTGCCAATGTTCTGCTGATAGCCAGCCTCGGCGACCCTCCATGTGTTGTCTCAAGTCTGAAGAAGTCTTCCTCCATCACTTCGAAGATTGGAGATCATGAAAGTGCGAATGTTACTGGAATGATTTCATTATTCGGGATCCTCTTAGGATGTCAGATTTGTCAGATTTATGAGCCCCATTCAATGAAAGTGACAGGATGTTGATGAAACACACGCGAATGTTGGTGGACAGGATGTTCTGCAAAAAAACATGTATGCCATGCAAACACGCGCCATGCGGTACTTATGAAGAACGAGCCATGACACCTTCACCCACCGGTCTCTTCGTGAGAGAGACCCACCGGTCACATCTTCGGCCCCCGACAGCAGCGAGGCCTCGTCTTCTGGGCATGTGCGTACCTAGGGGGGAAAGTAGACAAGTAGACCAAGCAAAAACGGTTTGAACATGAACATGGCGAAAGGACTCCACACGGAAGGACTCTGTTGGAAAGAGAAGAGTTTCCAAATGTCTGCAGTGCAACATAACAGGAGCTATGTCAACCTACCTACCTACCTACCTACCTACCTACCTGAAGTCCACCTAAATTTGCTCTGTCCAAAGAAAGCCAACCATTCTCCTGATCTCTCCTGAGTATGTCAATGACGCGGCGTAACTGGCGTGTCTTACCCATGACCCAGCGCAAAAAGTCCGTCCATGATGTCACCAGCTCTTCGTCCTGTCTCTCAGTCCTCTACATGTGTCGTTGATCCATGGACCTCAGCGACACTTGGCTCGCTCGTTTAGGAAGCTTCGATGGCCAAACGGCACCAGAACCGCTTTTTTCTCTGACGCCATCAATGATTGCTCCGAAACCATTTGGTCTTGAGTCAACGACCACTGGCTGGAGTCGGCAATCTTGTCCAACTTCCCAAATCATCACCTTTGTGTCTCAACTCTGAAGAGTGGCTCCACAGCTCACATGAGCTAGTGATTCATCAAACATGATGTCCATGGCAAAAGATCAGTTTCAAGCAGCAGCCAGGTAGGCACAACATGGACATAGCTAGACAGGACGGCGTTACTTTTCATCTCACGGTCGACTCGGTTTCCTCATTGCCTCATCAAATGAAAAGACTCCAATCGAAAGCTTTGTCAGCAAAGCTGGAGAACTCCAGGCCCTGTCGGCCACTCGCCAGACACTCTTGACGAGTCGTCTAAGTCCAAAAGCCCGATCTGGGTTGCCCCCGCCCCTGCCAGACCCTCCTGGAGTGTGTGGTTGGTTTTCAAGCTCATGGTGGTCACCTTGCTCGGAAAGTGCAGGAGCACTGGCCAATTGGATGAAACAGGTGTTCTTGCTGACCGCTCCCTGGTGCGAACAAACGAGTCTCATACGCCATTGAAGCCGATGCTTGCTCCTCATCCAACTGCTTTCCAATCATCTGAACAGCAACTTTAGACAAATGCTTTGAAACGCCTTGTAAAGTGGCACTGATGTTGCTCCTCCTGGCACATCCACCGCGTCCAGCGCAGGATTCAAGGGCCAATGCTTCTGGACCTCAAACGACTGCGGAGCAGCTCAGAATCCTCCAAGTGATCCATCGTGCCAAAAGGAACCGATATGCCATTCCCATGGGATATGCAAGCGATATGCCATTCCCGGGTGTCAGTGGATGACGAATGATTATTCTACAGATGTGGATGACGATTTCAGGAACCCCCTCGAGGATCGGACCAAGTCTTCATATGTGGTCCACTCTCCACTGCGGCTATGACGGCCTGACCGTCATAAGGTCGTTTTGGGCCGAGCTTCTCGAATCTCTGGCGCAAGAACTGAACAGTTTCACGTCCTTTTCTTGTCTGCAAAAAGGTTCTAGTTGCACATAATCACATAGTTGGGGCGTGTTTGTGCTTTATTGAAATGTCTTCCTTGAGTTCTTCCTTGCAAAGAGTGGCTTCTCAACACCACCCAGCCCGCCGCCCCGCCGTAAAAGGGCACGCCCATCGTGAGCTGCTGCGCTGGAAGGATTCCTTTCCTGAGTTTGACTGTGGGAAGCCTACACAAAAAAACAAGGTTTACACAAAACAGACACAAACAATACATTTCTAGAGAGTGAAGTCAATCTGTCTATCTCTCCAATACGATAACGACTACTCTTCCTCACGATGGCTGCAGGCTGGTGAACCTTCCCAGCCTGGACTTACCCCAATGGATCCCAAATTGATGCGCCACAAAAGTATCAGACCCAAACTGAGGACAGTGACGTTCACTAGATCTAACGGTTTCTGGCTTTTGTCGTGCTAAAACTTGCGACAGGGTCGTTTCCTCGTTGTAATAAATTCGTCTGTGTTCTTCCCTCACCGAGTCACTGAAGAACAGGTGTCGTGCGTGTTCTCTAAGCTCGTCGCCCCTGGTCGGCGCTTTTCCTCCCATACTCCAGGGAACTGTGATGCGTTCCACCTGCCCGGTACAGACGCTGGGGCCGGCCGTGTTCTTCAGCGAGCGAGTATGCTTCGCGGCTGCGGGGCTGTGTCTCCCGCCTTGGTCATAGCTCATCATGTGGAGCAAATCGGCTTGCCTACAGGCGAGAGCATGAGACGTGACACATCACATGATCCGGAAACAGGTCTGACCTCATTGGAAACATGACATGTCAGCAAGTTCAGGGTCAGAAAAAAACACCTATGAATCGCCTGAATTTCGGAACTTGCATGTTCGCAGCTTCCTGTTTCCAACAAGTAGGTGGTGGCCGGCTATTCCATCAGGTACATCTGCCAAGCGCCTGGCTCAGCAATACCTGGCTCCAGGAACAATGGAGCGGCAAAAGCATGCAAAAGGAGGGTACTGGGCAGCAACACCAAGCATGTTGGCCAGGCCAAAACTACCAAGGAACATCAAGAAGAGAGAGAAGGAGTATTCCGCTTTAACTCTTCAATTATTGCTACTTGACCTCAGCAACACAGCAAGCTTTGCCATGGTCTCGAAGCAACTGCTCCTGACGACTGTCCGGGTAGTACGCCATGGTGATGGCCTCGCTCACGACCATGCAAACAAACATGAGTGCCAAGCAACCCGTTACAAGATACAGCATTCTGAAGAGATTGACTGTCATCAAACCTTTCGCAGGTGATGTTTCACTTGCTGCCCTCTTTGGCAACTGTTTGGCTTACCGTTCCCTCTGTTCTGCCTTGTTGGCCCAACCTTTGTCTACGTACATCTGTCTGGTCTCAAACCTGGATGCCAGCGCTGAATCGCAGTGAAAGCCAGTTCAGTGAGGTGGATGTGCGTTTGTGCACACTGCGTTCGAGAACTTCGATCGAGTACAGTGCCCCAGAGTAAGAGAAACATGCTGGCAGGAAAAACTTTTGGCACACGTTCTGGAAAAGTGTTTATGTTGTTCTTCGACAAGTGCAGCTTTGCATTCACAAAAAATCATGCGATCCTCTTGCAAGAGCCAGTGATCTTCGACCAAAATCCATGCCTGTTGGGTGTTCTAGTGAGGTCCAGACACAAGCTTTGAAAGGCCTTCATAATCAGCCTTCACCTGCCAGTGCTGCGGAGTGCTGCACTCTCCCGTCGAGGCTCTGAGTTTCCAAGCTACAAAATGGTGGCCTTCGTATGGTCAACTTTCTACCAGTCCCCTATGGAACAAATCTGATAGGAGGCTAAACTATAGGCTACCTTTAGCAGCTCAGCAAAAAATGGCGAAACTATGGCCACGCGGCTACACTTGATGGCTGGGCTCAGGCAAACGGTGGGCCACTCCCCTCGTTCCCGGTGGCCTCGCTTTCGGCTAAGTAGCCTTGTCCAAAGCCTTGCCGATCAGTGAAATCGGTCGCATCCATCGTTCAGGTGGCTGTGGGAACACCTAGCCTTTGCTTTGTTAGAGAGCAACAGAAGAAGAAGAAGAAGAAGAAGGGATTTGGAAGACAACGAAACAAACCAGTTTACGCGAAAAAAACAACAGTTTACGCGAACGTAAGGGAGATCTTATGAGGGAGATTCCAAAAGTTCTCACAAACGTGTTCAAAGGTAAAGCTTGTACAGTATATATGGCTATATATGTACAGTATATAAATATATATATGGCATGCGATCGCTAGTGGAGCAAAGCCACGGTAGCCAGGATATTCCCAGTTGTAGTCCACCTCAGCTTGACATTTCTTGTGAGATGCTTGGCATGTCCATCGTTTCTTCACCTGACTCATGTCTCACCAAGTTGAAGATGACCACCAGGCACCCTGATTTCTCAGTGCCTAAGTGCGCTTCCCTCAGCCTATCAGATTCGTCTTCATCGTCTTCGTCACTCTGAGAGTCCCAACTCCGTCAAGATCATACTTCTCCATGAACTCCCCCAGCTCCTGTCGAACCAAGCGTCGTTTCATCGTGCACGCATTTCTGCGTGTCGTATTTCTGCGTCGTCGGGACATGTGCTGTCCCGTTGTCGGATCGTCGGATGGACGACAAAACGAATGCGGCGAACGAGGATCTTTGACTCCAGTCAATCCCTCTGACGGTCTTGGCTTTGATGCAAGCTGAAGGGCTTCAGGTCATGTGCAGAAAACAAAATGAAGTTCCACTCGCACCACCCTTTTGAAACAAGTCTCAGTGTGTCTGACATCAAACTGCTTCAGGCAGCACCGTGACACCTCACTGAGACGACAGGAACGCACCACGTGATGTGAAGAGCACAAGTATGGCAATCGATAACGTTATTCCTAAGGACTAGTAAGTTGCTACTGAAATCGGCTGGTCCGGGTCTGCCGGAGAGTCTGCTGTCCAAAGGATGTGTTTATCCGTCTGAATCATCTTCACTTCTGCTTGTGATGCTTGTCCAAGGGGAGCTGTGACATAAGGTGGGTGAAGAAAAGGCAATCAAAACATCTTTACAAACAAGCAACTACTGTACACATATATATAATATATGTTTATAGTATAAATATATTATATATATATCTATATTTATTACTGCGGACTTTTCCTGAAAGCTAAAAGGCCTGCGTTCACTTTTTGATTTGTGCGGTCATCATGACTGCACATGTTGGGACATCATCTGGAATGCTTTGTTTCCGCACGCCTCCTTGAGACGCGGAGCATAGCTCTTTTTTTTAGCTCCATGTCTCATCCTTAAAATCTCAGGGCTGAACTATCAAGGAAATCTGTGTGGAAGGCGATTTTGGCATCCAGACCTTCGGTCTGTTCACCTCTCCTCACAGCTTCCAAATACTGTCGTTCCAACAGCGCTATATGCTGCTTTGCCCTCCGTAGCGGTCTAGGTCTCCCAAATCTTTGTATCCAGCTTTCTTGATCCATTCTCTTGTACGTTCACCTTCAACTGGATCTTCCATGGGAACGTCCATCATCACCGTCTCTTGGCTTGACTGGCTAGCACCTTCAACTCTTGGAGCTTTGGGAACTGGAGGATGTGATTCCTCCTCTTCTTTCTCACTTTCCGGCTACCTCGACTCTAAGTTCCCTGTGGGCAATCTCCCCGCTGTCAAGTAGAACCATCGCCACATCACCTGACAGCATCTCTTCTCCCGGACTTGCTGGGCCTGGGGGTCCAAGCAATGTGCTGCCTTGCCTCAATCGAAGGAAATCCACACTGCCTGGAGAGCGTTCATGCTGCTGCAACAAATACTCTTTCGCCTGTTCTTTCAATCTTCGCTTGTCGAAATTCCTGTTGGACTTCTGGAGATAGTCCCAATGCTTCCATTCACCTTCTTCGAATTCAGCCTGGTCAACATAGCCTTCGTTCTTGACAAGGCCTCGATGGATCTTCTGCCTGTACATCTTCAACTTGTCGCTCTTTTCATGTAGTTCCGCGCTAGAAGTTTCAATTCGAACATTGTATATCTCCAGCTTATCCTGCACACTTGCCGCATTTCTCTCAAGGCTTTCAACGCGCTGCCACATCTTGTAAATGAGACATGCTGCTGTTACCAAAAGAATCACCAGCAAGAACATAAGACATGTAATGCATGGAAAAGTCGACCTCTCAACCTTCTCCTCAATGCCGTGACCGGCCACTTGCTCAAGGCCCTCAAGCAAAAGAATTCTGTTCAACATCTTGGCCAACTTGGTGAGTTGGCCTCTGTTCGCTGAACTGGCTGCCATTCTCTCACGCTCATCCTCTCCAATCCGTTCATGCCTTGCTGTGAAAATATTGCACCAGTAAAGGATCAACTGAATACGAGCTCCTGCCCACTGCTTTGACTTTCAGCTCATCTTGCGCCACCAGGTCTTGAATCCACAACAATTTCCCTGAAATGCGTCGCAGTTTACCTGGCCCTCGTCTGTGGCAAAGATGAAGGGCTGCTGAATCGTCCACCAAACAGTGATGCACCACGGCTTCATCTACCAAGAACTCTATGCATCTCCTTAGGTATACGCCATCTGCTGCACTCCCAACCAATGCATTGAGCTCTGCTTCTGCACTGCTGAGGCTTACTGACTTCTGCCCTCTCGAACTTGCAAAAATCTGCTCCATTCAGCATGTGGATTGCTGAGGATCTTCTTTGGGTTTTGAACCACTCCAGCCACTGTCTGAGTAGGTCTCGAGCAACCATCCTGAGACCTCTGTTCGAGTAGTCAATCCATGGCCTGGCTCTCCGACCTCCAAGTGACTGTACTGACCGAGAGTTGTCTTCAAAAATCCGATCAACTTGCCTAACTTCTTCAGACTTGCTTCCGTCGGACAAGCCATGTTTCCAGCTAGCTCTTTGGCCGTGAAGGCAATGTCTACCCTTTCTTGTGCTAGGTAGATGCCACAGCCTACCAATGACCGGTAGAGCCCTGCAAGATGTTCTCCAAGTGGCGTTGTTTCGTCTGGCTCTAAAATCTCTTGACCACATGGCAACTTCTGCAGCTTTGCTCTCCCCAGCTCTTTCTCGTAGGCATCAACCATGTCTTCAGCATACTTGCCTGGATAGATGCGCAAGCCCTCTGTTGTCAACTCACATGTTCGCCGCAAGAACTGAAATGCGTCGCCCACCCTTTTCACATGCTGTTCAGAGATCTCAAACTGAGTTCTCAGCTTTGGCAAAAACTCCTCCTGAACAAAGCTTTCTTTTCCCACATACATCACATCGTCAACGTGAATCAACAAGGCCATGTCTTTGCACCTGCCAAGGCATGGATTTTCCTTGCTGAACTCGAAGCTTTGCTCCTTCTTCAACCATGAAGTCAGATGATCGAACCATGCTTTGGCTCCAATACGTTGGCCTGGAAGGTTCTTGTGAGGACTGCAAAATGTCCGGATGATGTGCTCACTTGAGTTGGGACTTCCTGGTCCACTTGCAGAAAGGCATCCTTAATGTCAAGCGAACCAAGGCTGGGAAGATCTCCTCCTGTCTCTGCCTCCTTCTTCATGGACAATAAGATCACTGGGAGCAACCTCAGGGTCTGGCTCTATCGTTGGCATACTCACGCGCAACCAGTCTAGATCTCCTCAACCACATCTTCTCACCGGTATCTGGCCGTGATTTCATCCTCCAATCTCTCACAAACCTTGTGGTGAGATTCTTGTGGCCAGGGCTTCTCTTCTCAATCCGCTCCAACACCTTCATCCTCTGCAGTCTCTCTTCCTCCACTGCGTCTGCAAGGTCGTCGATCCATTTTGGAGGATCCGGAGGTACTCGATCAAGGTCAGCTGATGACCACAGTTCTTCTGGAAGTTGGTACTGTGATTCGTTCTTCACTCCTCAGCCTCCATCAACCAAGCCTCAATCTCTTCTTTGCTCAACACTTCGTCTTGGTGTGCGAAGACATCATCTCCCACTTGGGTTTCCATCACTCTTCTCTCTTGATGAGCTCCTTCACTTGACTTCATCCTTTTTGCCTCTGATGCAGTTGAGCCTTGGAGTTCATGGACTGGCTTGATCGCTGTCTGCTTGAACTTCTTGGCCTCCGGCTCTGGGCTGTCCATTGACTGCAAGGCCTTGAGCGGTGGTCCACGAGGTGTAGTGGGCATAAGTGGGACAGAAGGACCTGCTTGGTTCTTCATCTCGTCCAACTGAATGCTCTCCTGCTTCTCTGAGGTGTTTGGAGTGTCTTCAACCTCCACATTCTCCATCTCCTTTCTCTCTTCAAGGTTTCCAGCATAGGACCTGAGAAAGCTAACACTTCAAGAGCATCACGATCGTCCTCTGCAACCTGAACCACCTCCTCAAAGGGAAGCTTCATCATGGGGCCTTCAACTAATGACGCAAGCCGCTTTGAAGGAACTATACGGCCACTGAAGTTGGTCTGGAACTCCCATGAGAAAGCTGAGAATCCCTTAAAGCATGCTAAGTACTGGCTCCATGAATTCTGGACTCGACGAATGGACCTACTCAAGAAGACTCTGGAGCCATCTCCGACCACCCAATCGCTCTTGCCCAAACAAACTCCGATCTTCCACCTAGCATCGGCCTTGTAGCCTTGTTTGCGCTTGGTGTAAGCGAAGACAATCTCGCCGAGCCACGTCCAAACACCAGCTCATAACTTGTAGCGCCTTGCAGAACTTGAAATCTATTCAATGTCCATGCTGCATGTCGGCAACACCAAGTCCACAAAGGATGCTGGTTGTTGAACCTGAGCCCTGTCTCTTCAACTATGGCTTCCAGCAGTGTTGCTGCAACTGCTCTGATGCGCTGGATTGCATTTTCCACCAATGCATTGCCCGCTGAATCATACAACTTCGTCGTCTTCGTGTGGGTTTGTAGCCCAAGTGCACTCCTTGCCGTCACCAGCAATTTGAGTATCTGGCGGGCTGTGTTGTCGGAGTAGTAGGTCACCTCCTGGTGCCCAAGCAACTGGGTGAATGCCATGAGTTCGTGAGCAATCCAATTCACCTGTGACTTGGACTTGGGAGGTAGTCCAAGCAGATACCCAGTTTCTGAGTCCACCGCTACCAGCCACAATGAGCCAGTCTCTTCTGGGACACCAGCTTGAGCTCCATCTCCCTCTTCTGGGTGTCCAAGCGGTCCGATGCCACTGGCCTTGGTGTACGCAAAGTCAAAAGAAATCACTGGTCCTCATTCGCGGGCATGACCAGTGCGGCGATGTTGATCTTGCTTTGCACGGTGCTTCACACATGAACTACACCATCCTCCAAAAGGAACATGAGTCAAGCTGTGTTTTCTCTTCTCCTCCCCCGTCAGTGCTTTGGTGATGAACTGTTCTTTCTCTCGAATTTTCTGGTACGAGCTGCCTTCATTCAACGTCAAGTTGAGGTGTGTCTTCAAAGGACCTCCAATAACCTTCAAAAGAACAGCTGCTTTCATGTCCCCTGCTAGCTTTCCTCCCAACTTTTCGTATTGGTTGAAGTGCTCTTCGAGCTTGAGGAGCTGGGGCAGAATGGATAGCTTCACGTTGAAGGGTGCATAGGACATGACAGGACATGATCCCTTGCAACAAAAAAAGTTCATCGTCCTGTTCCTCGCCTGTGGTTGGCAGTTCATCAACAATTGGCGCAATGCCTCATGACCATTGTAGTTGTCGACGTTCTTGATGATGCCAATCAGGCGTCCCTGTACCCATCCTCCCAACAGCCTTCCAGCTTTGCAATCTCCTCCTGGTAGGCTGAGTCGACCTTCAAGCTCCAAAACCAATCCCTCCTTGTAGGATCTCTTGTTCCCTGTCACCGGGATGGAAAACTGCAGGTCGTGGGATCAACTTGGCAAGATCTTTCTTGTTCTGTCCACCTGACTCTGTTACACTGCTCTGCACTGTCGTTGCTGTAGCTGCCGCTTGAGCTGCTTGTGTTGCTGCTTGCGCCAATTGTAGCCAATGACCTTCACCTTCAAGAAGCCACGCGCAATGAGGGCGAGAAACACGCTACACCAGGTCTTCCTGCTAGGCGCGGGCGAGGCAAACACGGGGGGCCGCTGTGGGGATTGGGTCACGTCCCCGGGCCGCTAGAGCTCCGGCGAGAGCAGGGCAATCGCCTTCACAGCTCCGCTACCATGCGGACTTTTCCTGAAAGCTAAAAGGCCTGCGTTCACTTTTTGATTTGCGCGCGTCATCATGACTGCACATGTTGGGACATGATCTGGAATGCTGTTTTTCCGCAATTACATATTATGTATATATAAAGTCGCATGATGGTTGCCTCCAAAGCACCAATCATCGAAGCACGCGTGATGATCTCTTGAAGCTTCTCTTCCGACCAGTCCTCCGTGCCTTTGCACATCGTTCGCGTCAATCGAGCCTTCACAGGGCCTTCAAAGGTCTTAAAAAACTTCCCAAGTGAAATGACCACCGTTCGAATCCTTTCGCCGTGTCACCTCTGGGCCTTTGGGGCAAGATCATGTAGCGGCAGTCCGCCGTCGAGTCGTGAACCACCACCTGGCGCAGACCCCGCAACGAGCAACATGGGATTGCCGTGCGCGGACGGTGGGCGAAGGGACTCATGAGCGATTCTAACTACGACTCTGCGCGATTCTTCGAAGATAGAGCTTGAAACCCAAGACTTGGGCCGAATTCATGTCATCTTGCGCTAAAGATAAACAGCACCCAACAACTCTCAAACAATTGTTTGACTAGTATGTTTAGCAAGAATGTCTTCAAAAAAATGCAAAAGATCTCTTTTGGCCGACACACGTACGCGTGTGGCAACAACATAATGTGGCTCACAGGCTCGTCCCACCTGCACCTCCTGCGGCAGCTCAGTCCCAAACTCTTTCAGCGCTTTCCGTGGCTCGCGCACTGCTCGGGAGCGATACTCCCGGGACTTGTACCTCGCGATTCGCTCGTTCGCGATTCGCGTGAACTTCTGCTTCTGCTTCTCCCTCGTGTGGCCCTACTTCCGATCTATATCTACAGGGCCTGAACTGAAGCTCCGTCTAGAAAAGTACCGACTAGCAAAAATACCAGCAAATGTGCGCCGCAAACATCCGCAAACCCCAAAGAACGAAGGCCTTACTTCCCTTCCTCGAATTGATGTTCTGAAACGTGCACCAGAATCCTGAACGTGAGCATGTCTGCGCTTATTCCCTTGGTATCCTAGGTTTTGTGGGACTTCCATGTGCGAGGGGCGCCAGTCTGGAGAGAGGCCCAGCAAAGGCAAGGGATAGCAGCTGCCTGAAGAAATTTTCACAGGAGTAAAGGTGTTGAAGACATCCGACGCCCTTCTGGCGGCAACTGCAAAATTGCTGCGTTGCCCAAGGACTGTGTTTCCTATTGTTTAATGAATTTGCTCAGTGGTTTAAATATCCGCCGACCCCGGCCGCAGGAAGGGGGAGCGCGCGAGGGATTACAGGTGTGGGAGCCTGCGTCATGCCATGGTTGGCGGTCCTTTGGCCGCTGCTGAGACAACAGCCAAGCCGAAGTGGGCCGTGAAAACGGGACCTGGGGCCACGTCCGGCACCGCAGCCAAGGCACTGTGGAAGCTGGTTTCGCAGCCAAGCCACTGGTGGAAGCTTGTTTCGGGTTTGGGGCTGCGGCCTGTCGAGAGCAGCGGCCACGAGGCCAGCGTGAGAAAGACCATTGTCTTGTCTAGGGATTCAGACGGGGCGTTTGGCAGCAAAAGTCACCCCTCAAATGCTTCTCGGGGCCTTTGGCCGCTGCTGTCGAGCGCAGCGGCCTCGAGGCCAGCGTGAGAAAGACTATGGTCTTTTGTAGGGATTCAGACGGGGCGTTTGGCAGCAAAAGTCCCCCCTCAAATGCTCCCCTTTGGCCGCTGCTGAGACAACAGCCAAGCCGAAGTGGGCCGTTAAAACGGGACCTCCACGTCCGGCGCCGCAGCCAAGGCACTGTGGAAGCGGGCTTTGCAGCCAAGCCACTGGTGGAAGCTTGTTTCGGGTTTGGGGCTGCGGCCTGTCGAGAGCAGCGGCCACAAGGCCAGCGTAGAAAGACCATTATCTTTTCCAGGGATTCAGACGGGGCGTTTGGCAGCAAAAGTCCCCCCTCAAATGCTTCCCGGGGCCTTTGGCCGCTGCTGAGACAACAGCCACGCCGAAGCGGGCCGCGAAAACGAAACGGGACCTGGCGCCACGTCCGGCGCCGCAGCCAAGGCACTGTGGAAGCTGGTTTTGCAGCCAAGCCACTGGTGGAAACTTGTTTCGGGTTTGGGGCTGCGGCCTCGTGGCCAGTGTGAGAAAGACCAGTGTCTTTTCTAGAGATTCAGACGGGGCGTTTGGCAGCAAAAGTCCCCCCTCAAATGCTTCCCGGGGCCTTTGGGGGCTGCTGAGACAACAGCCACGCCGAAGTGGGCCGTGAAAACGGGACCTGGGGCCACGTCCGGCACCGTAGCCAAGGCACTGTGGAAGCTGGGTTCGCAGCCAAGCCACTGGTGGAAGTTTGTTTCGAGTTTGGGGCTGCGGCCGGTTGATGGGTTTACTCTATTTCTTCGTGTCGTGTTTGCGCTCCGGCGCTTGCCACCGGTTTTGGGGGCACGGTTTTCCCGTATAGCTGTGGCAGTGGCAAGGAATTGTTTATGCAACAGTGTTGCCTTCTGACCATTCTTCCCTTCGCCAGACCCACGCGTGGGTCTTCCAACTATGGACGCCGAAGGGCGCAGCGCTTGCTCACTGGGCAAATCTGCATGGCCAGGAGGCAGCCTTGGAATACCGAAATCAGTGTTAGGAGGCCATCGCTACTAGGGTGGAGGCGATGTCTAGTGTAACATACAAAACTAGCACAACGATGTCCAGTATTATTTCATCTAGTCTACTTTAAAACGCTTCTTTGGACTATCCAGTTGCTGTTGACCAATGAGGCAGTTTTGGCTTCTGGAGTGGTCGAACTGCAAGCACGGCGTCCATGGCTCCTGCTATGTGTGCGGAGGCCCTGCTTTCAGAGATCTCCTTCCTCCTTGGACCATATGAAGCCACGCCTGTACATCGCCGCCTCCGTAATCATGAACCGCACGCATTTACACAGTTCGCACATGAGAAAGGCGCACCCTTCCAGCGTCTTGGCGAAGCTCCGCAGCTGCGCCTCACAGCAGCAAATGTGGTGGCACTGGTCCCGTCTCTCTCTTTCTGTCTGTCTCTCGGTCTCTCCTCTCTCCTCTCTCCTCTCCCTCTCCCGCTGTCTCTCTCTCTCTCTCGACCCTGACACTGGCCCGCTCGACAGGTGGTTGGGTGAGGCCAGTGGAATGCAGATGCATGAACAAACAGCCGCATGCGCACATCACTAACCGTTTGGGGTCTGAACTGAATGAACTCTCACACACGATGCCTTTGCTTCCCTCATGAGGGGATTATCTCCCGGAGCTTCCTGCAGTGTTTTGCAGCGCAGCACCTCAGCCTCAGATCGACGGCGAGGCTTCCAGCGATCCAAAAACTAAGGGACCTTCTAGAGACCTACCGTGACCACTGCTCAAAAAAGGAAGCTGTGGGGATTGTGTGGTTGCGCCAAAATCCCTCGTCTCCAGCTTGGGCCCCCAAAGTCTCTTGAGTACGACGCCGCTGGTTTCCATGTCTTTCGGTTCCGTTTTGGCCGAGTGTCTTGAATCTCCTGCAGACGCTCGGAGTAAAAGGCGCAGACCGCGCTGCTGTTGGTGTCCAAGTTCATGTTCTTAGTCGAAACTGCCCGTTCATGGTGGAATGGTGGGTGACAATTCCTATGAACCCAAAACCGAAAGGTGCAAGCTGTCAGCTGCTTCTTGAAAACGTTTGTTTCCTAATCGGGGTTGGTATTAAGTGGGTACCTTGGGGGGTGCGATTTTATAGTGCTAAAATGCTGGGACCAACCCCCTCCAATGAGGGTCACTTTTTGACCCTATAAAATTGAGGATAACGTAGGAAAAGAGCCCAAATACAAAGATTTAGCTCTATAGAATTGAGGGCCATTAGTCTGTCAAAAGCTGTTGAAAGTTGTGAATATTAAGGGTTTTTGTCTATAAAATTGCGGGTCCCAAGGTACTCCCGAACAGGTGTTGTCGAGTTGTAATCTGAACCTGGTTCTCTGTTAGAGTCAAGGGCCATGGGTCTCAAAAAACCTGTTTCTGTATAGAATCAAGGGCCATGGGTCTCAACAAAACATAAAATTCCAATTTCAAAGGAAGGTATTGATTTGCCAGTTGGTAGGACCACAATTCTATAGAGAAGACAGCAGGTGTTATGGAGAGGATTGGAGAGGTAAGGATCTGTGATGATCTCTGATTTTATAGTTCGCACAGCAAATGCCAAAATGGCAAAGCAAATTCTTACAATCCTAAAAAGCCATAGTTCGCACATCTTGTGGATCTTAGTGAAATTGAATGAAATTGAAATGTATTGCATTAGGATGCATTAAGATTTTTCAAAGTGTTTCAATGTATTTCATATAAGGCGTTCCCTTGCTAGGATGCTCCAAATTTGCCAGCGTCATCATGCGTCATCCTGACTCATTCAAGAACCCATTCCCCAGGGTTCTTTTGAGCAATCCCAATTGGAATCAAGCCAAGAAAAAGCAATCTCTATAGAATTGCGGGTCATGACATCCAAAATCATAGAAATCATTCTCTATAGAATCGGTATGCCCGAGTCATCCAAAATCCCTTCACTATACTTACAAGCCTCATCAAGCCTCTATAGAATCAAGCTTGTAAAAAACAACAATTCTCTATAAAATCGAGGCTCTTGAAGGACAGGACTTTACAAGCTCCATATGAGCCAAGAAAAACTGGCTTAAAAAATGGTCTTTTCGGGGACCCAACCCCCGCGATTCTAAAGAGGAAATTCCATCCCCTATGTTTCCTATATAAACAACAACAACAACAACAACAACAACAACAAC